AGGAACACAGTCATGACTTTTAAAAAACAGTCAATAAGCATTTTGGATTTCCCATGCTGCCGAAAAAGCGAACACAAAGAATGGACTTGTGGAGAAACAAACAGGTTTGGAAGAAAATAAATAAATACGAACAGTAGCATCCTACATGTAGAAAGCCACTTCTACCCCCAAAAGCAAGGGAAATCACCCCCACTGGCTCCCAGACACGCCAGGGAGGGCTGGAAAAACAGTCAATAAGCATTTTGGATTTCCCATGCTGCCGAAAAAGCGAACACAAAGAATGGACTTGTGGAGAAACAAACAGGTTTGGAAGAAAATAAATAAATACGAACAGTAGCATCCTACATGTAGAAAGCCACTTCTACCCCCAAAAGCAAGGGAAATCACCCCCACTGGCTCCCAGACACGCCAGGGAGGGCTGGAGGCTCTGTGTGCAGGGGTGGCTCAGGCTGGGACGGTGGAGAAGATGCTCCACAGAATGTCCCCCATTGTCCGGGGGAGCGGGAGGGTTCCCCCTTCCTGATGGGGCAAACAGGAGCCCGGGAACCACTACTAAGGCCTCGGAGCTGGGAGTGAAAATCTGCCAGCAGCTGGTTTTGGGCTGGCGTCTTTTCAGGTCACAGACAATCCTCACGGAATAACTTGAGACAATAATCTTTTCTAAAGGATTAACCCAGCCAGAGCACACCAGGCACCAACCATCGCTTCAAGGCCTTCCCTGACGAACGGCACACAACCCTGTCATCATTGTTTTGCAAGAGCTGTGAGGACAGAGCTGGAGGAACCGACTGGTTTTTACTGAGGCTTCCCTACAGCCACACACCTGCTTTTCCTTGAGTTCCCGAGAGCATCCGAACCGCCAGTGCCACCCAACAGTCCTCCAACTCTCAGTTTCCAGCATCACCCTGCAGGGTTATGTTGGGCTTTGCTGTTTCTGCTCGCTAGACACTTGCTATAAAAAGTGAACGTAAGTTACTGGCCAGGGAGAAGAAAGCCCTTGTCCTGTTCAGCTTCACAGCTGTAACAAGCTCCGTACGTGCCAAAACACGTATCCACGTCTTGACATATTCTACAAAACACAGCAGCATATTACGGACAGTTTATTCTAGTGAAGGCTTCTTTTCAGTTTCGGCAGCAGAGATGACCAACGGTTACAGCAGAGTCGCACAACCACAGCACCTCAGCCCTGCAGGGGTTTCACTAGGCTGATTGTGGTGGCACTGAAGGGGACACCCCTGCGCTCCTGCCACGTCACACAGCGCAGCGAGAGGCGGCTTGCAAGGACTCCACAGGATCGTTCCCCCTCACGAACATGTACACCGCTCCTGCATACAAGGAATCTTTCCAGCAGATTAGACTCGCCTGACTCCTAATCACTACTACCCTGCTGAGAATCAATTTCAAAATCCTAAGGAGGTCTCCTTCCCTGCAGGGGAAAGCTCATTACAAAAGCCAACAGAGCCATCCCTTAATTTTTTGGGTAACAGCAGCACAGAGATTCCCTGCTCAGTTATCTTTGATTCTGGAGCTGAAAATGGAAAGGGTCTGTGTCCAAAAGAAACCTCTAGAGTCCTCCCGTGTACAGAATAAACCTCTGGAGTCCTCCTGTTCCACATAAGGAATGGGCTTCATACTGGTCTCAGGCGTGGTTCCTCCTCCTCCTCGTGGTTTGGTGGCTGCTGGGGCATTTCTTCATCTCTCGTGTCCTGCTTGTCTCTCTCTGCTTGAAGCCAGCTCTGAGGAGCTATCATTTTCTTTGGCCCGTAGGGCGGAGGACCAATCAAAGCTTCAATGTCATCATAATTTATTACTTCTTTCTCCAGGAGGGCATTAGACAGCTAGAAAGAGTAAACAAGGCATAATGAGGCACAGGGGTACGAAAACAGCCTCTCTGAACTGATCTGAACTCTCCCTGTCTTCTCGGCTGGGATCTCGACATCTGGACCCAGCACGCGCTGCGGCCCCCGAGCAGCAGACCCCTGGCTACCAGAGCACAGACGAGGTGACCCCATAAATTTCTTGGGGCTGCCGGCACCTTCCACAAGAGTCTTTTGGGCCAGGAACATGCAGCGTGGCTGGAGGCAATAAAGCAACTCCAGGAACAATGAGAGAAGTGCCCTTCCTGTTGCTGCACCTGCGGCCCTGAGATGCCGAAACAGCAGCAACTGAGAGCAGACTCGGACCTGTCCCCCTCCTCTGTACACCCAGTGATAACAAAGGGCTGTTTGTTCCCACAGGCACGGGCTGAAGGTCATCAGAAGTTCCTCTCCAGCTGAAATATAGTCTCTAGCCCTTCCATCAGCAGAAGGGCCGCCCCTGAGCAGCAGGTGACCGTCCAACACGGAACCGCTCGATCCCACTGACAAGATGTGACACACTGACCTGGCAACCGAAACCCTCCCTCCCTAGATACTTTGGCTCAGCTTAAAAGTTTTTCTGTGCCGAGCCTCTAGCCAACATCTGATCATTGTTAAATGAAAGCATCAGACGAGAGGAGGCCTGCGGAGAGGAGACCCCCTGACAAGGGCTGCCCTGAGAGCAGGGGACAGGGCTGGGACACGGCCAACAGCGCGGTGTCCGAGCAAGCGAGCTCTGGCTACCTTACCACGCACGGAGTCGCGTAGCCGAAGGGGGTTTTGTTGCTGTTTGTTTAAAGGAGAGAAAAAAGATTTAAGGAGAAAGGATTGTTCTGTCTGCAAACCACGCAATGCTAAGTTGACTCCGGATCGTTTTGGGTGCTGCGGACGAGACTTCTGAAGGAAAAATCCAGTAGATAAGTGGGGTGCCGCAACCCAAGCGTGGCTCAGCCCAGAGCGATGGGTACAGAGCTCCTAGCAGAGAGGTGGGGACTGTCAGGACTCTAAGGGGAGGAGGTAAAGTTTCTACCTCTGCAACAAGGACTCTTCAGAGTATGAGGGAGCTGGCAGAATGGGGCAAAACGCATTGGTTATAAAAACCACACCGCAAACAAAACCAACAAAAAGCCCTCACAACTCCAACTTACTGCTTGCAGCTTGTCACGGTTCTCCAGTAGGATTTTTTCTGTGCGTCTGTAAGCCTGAGCCACCAGGACTTTTGCTTCCTAGAAGACGGTAACAAGAAGAGGGATTTAGAGCATAGGTAGCAACAGACATAGCATGGATAAACAAGGAGAGCACCAAGGGATGGAATGTGCAAACTGAGCCAGGCAGAAAGTGGTTCAACCAAAAATATCGATAAACCATTTGGAGGGGAAAAAAAGAAATAAATAAATAAAAAGGCAAGCCAGGGGAGTACTCGTGACCAGGAACAGTAAATGCCTGCACAAGCACAACTCTTCAGGGGAGTCCGAGCCGATGGGAAGTGCCGGCTAATTAAGGAGGCTGCCCAGTAGCAAAAGATGCAGCTCAGCACAAATCCCAGTGAAGCACAACCACGCTGCTTCTGAACCAGAGCTTTTCTGTTCCCAGCTATTTCACTTCTCAAGTAAGGCAATGTGGTTTTTCATGTTTGTTTTTTTTTTTTCTTCTTTTTTACAACAACGAAGCCCAATTTCCAGTCGAAACAGGTTAATATTTTTCAGTCAGTCATTCCAAACTATCACTTTGATTAGACAAGCCTCTTGATCCAGCAAGTGGAGCCATTTAAATTGCGCAGCTGAGACTTTAAGGTTTCTTGTAACCTAAGCACTGCACAGCCATGCTTTGATATGCCTGGCACTCCTGAGGGCCTGCAGAGACTTCACCCAACAGAATTCTTTCTCTAGATGGAAATTTGTCCGTAGTACCGCAACTACCCCCCAGCCTCCCCACATTATTCCCTCTTCCCCCGCAAAGCTATTTCTCCCTCTCTCCGAAGGCAATATTTGCACATCCTGTCTCCCAGACGCTCACGAGGGTCTTGTCCACACCGGAACCAGGACTCGTTCGGGTGTGAGCTGCTTGTATTTTTCCCTACCCTACAGAAAGCAAAGAACAAACGGGAACACGCAGTCGAGGGCGGCCTTACATGGTCCATCATCTGCTGAAGTCCCTGGCTGAAAGGGCGCCGACCAATTCCAGCTGCGCTCTCCAGGTCCGGGAAGGAGACCTGCCCGATGCTGGGCACCATCCCGTACTGTTTCACCATGGAGTAGGCTATCTTGGTCACCTTCTTCAGGTCATCCTGTGCTCCTGGGCAAGAGAGAGACAGATGTAACACTGCCAGCTCCGAGCTGAGCCCAAGAGGAGCACGTCCTACACAAACACACGTTCCACTAGTCAGGAGACCAGAAGACCCACAGGAGCCCAGGGAGGTGAACACTCCTTTCGACACGTGCTGCAGGACAGTGCAATACTTTTACTGGTAGCTAGCTTCTGCAGAGTGCGTACCTACCGCTGCTCACTGTTACTCCGTTTGAATACAATCAGCTGCAAACCCAGCACAGAAAGCTCTTGGCCCTCCCACGAGCCAAGGGTCTCACTGGGTAGTTGCACCTGTGGCCTCAGGCTTTGGGACAAGTCTAAGACAACGTGGTGGCAACCCACAACGAGAGGCCTCCATGCTCACAAACACAAGCTCAAGACACAGTTTGACATTTCTTCCCCACCTGTTGCTCAGATCACCCTTGGACAGAGCAAGTGCAGAGGTTCAGGTTCTCTTTCTGCCATCTCCACCTGCCTGTGCTCCTCACCTGTTGTGACCTTGTTGAAGGTGATGGCCTCAGACACTCTCCCCCCCAGCGCCATACACATCCTCTCCATCAGCTGCTCCTTGGTGAAGAGGTACTGCTCTCTCGGAAGGATCTGAGCGAATCCGAGAGCTGCGTTCGTTCGAGGGGCGATGGAAACCTGCAACACAGAGCAGCTCCTTCAGCTCAGAGGACAAAAGAGCTCCCAGCTACAGCAGCAGAGGGAGAACTGAAGGAGACCTGCATTCCAAGCAAAATTGGTTGAAAGCTACAGGGCAGGCTGACCAACAGCCAAGGACTGCAGTGTGTCACCATTCCGGTCCTTAAGGCTCTGCCTTCACAGCTTTTTTTCTGCTCAAAAAATGAAAAGGAAATTGTCCTCAACAGCAAGCCAGTGAAATCCTGAGATACAGGAGTTGCTTTGGAGGGTATAAGCCAAACACATTTTACTGTGTTCCAGAATCACTGAGACTACCCACAGAAAGATAGGATGTCTTCAGAAAAATAAAAGAGGCATTTCCCCCGCCCATTAAACGTGAGCAACTAACAACAGCTCAGCGTATACAATAGGTCATTCAGAGTGAATTTGCTGCTGGTGGCAAGCCAAGGAGCTGTCACCCTTGTCATTTCCACTCCCCACCTCCCCCCAGTGTCAAGGCTTTCTGAGGAGGAGACGTGCGTGGGAGAGAACACACCCCGGGGTGCCAAAGAGAAGCCGTTCCCTTACAGAGAAAGGCTTCAAGGCAGACAAACTCCCAAGCATGCCAGTCTGAAAAACACATCTCTTCCCATCAGTATCAGAGCAGTTCCTGCAATGGCAGCGTCACCGGCTGCAACAGGCTGGCAAAGCC